CGGTGACCCCGAGGCTCAGAGCATTCACGTGACTTCTCTGAGGTCATGTGTCAATTAAATGAGTGATCTGGGATGACTAGAGAGCTCAGTCTTATCATCACTGTCCCCTCTCCAGTGAAGAAATAATAATGCAAAAATGAACTCCTGCAGTCCTTTATAGTTCTCACATCGCCTTCATTTGAATCTGAATGTGCCATGCTCATGTTTACTTCTGGTCTCATGCTGCTCCCTCCCCACCACTAAGTCCATTCTCCATACCGCATCACTCCTCCTTATTCATCCTTCAAATCTCACCTCCTCCAGGAAGTCTTCCCGGATGTACCCTCTCTCCCACAGCGTGTGAAATGCCCTTCTCGTGTGCTCTCAAAGCACCACCACTGTTCCAGCGCTATCACTGGATAACCACTTCCTGCTTGTCTGCATCCCTCATCAGATCATGAGAGCAGGGGTTCGATCTGCAATGCTTCCTTTGGATCACTAGCCCTGTGGCTGGCAATCTGAAAGACTATCTGCCGAGTGGATGAATGCGTCTTGAGCCCTAGACACTGCCCTCCGAGCCCTTTCTCATCTGGGACCTGCAATCCAATGAAGAGGTTCTTGACTTCATTTCTTTGAGACTACCACCATCTGCGTATTTGTCACGCTCTAATGACCTCTTCCCACAGAGCTGGGAGCATCCGGCTTTGGGCTGGATCCAAGATCTTACCCTTTCCCTCTGGTTGTGTTTGCAGATAACACTTGACATGCTGCAAAGACCCAGGGGGGTGGAACTCCCTACACAGACATGTTCCAGGGGTGCGATGTTACAAACTCCCTCCCTGCCCCACCCCTGCCCCTGCCACCGGGGGCAGGCTCAGCCAGAGGAACCCGGCTGGCGCAGGGCACCGGAAACTGCTGCTCTGCTTTGAGTGCTAGTTGCACCTGCTCCCCTGTTCTTAGCGCCCACAAAGCAGCCCACCTGTTCTCTGCAGCCCCACTGCTGCAGCCCAGGTCAGGGCCCCACTGCCGTCTTTTTGCCTGGGATTCAGTAGTGGTCTCTAGGCGGTCTCGCTGCCTCCAGCCTGTCCCTTTCATCCTATTCTCTATACGGCGTGATTTTTCTAGAATGTAAATCTGACCATGATTACAGCCCTTTGGTGGCTCCTCACCACCGCAGGATAAAGTCTAAACTCGTAAGCACAGCCAAGGCCCTTCAAGGCCTTCCGGTCAGCTTCCTTCTTGCCTCCTCCCAACACCTGTGCTCTAGCAGGCAAACTACCAGCACGTTTTCTGTTAACTTGCTACTTCTTCAACTGCTCTGCCCTTTACCTAGCACCTCACTCTTCTCTCTTACTTGTTCAATTCATTCAATAAATATTTGTTAAGTGCTTACTATGCGCTTGCTTCTGTTCTAGGAGAGGGGACCCCAGAGGTGAGCAGTACAGGCAATGTCTCTAATGCAACCGTCTTATATTCTGGTCTTATAGTGAGGACAAAATGAGCAACGGCTACATGAACCAAATAATTGTGGATGGCAGCGTACGCTCTGCTGAAAAGAAAATAGAGCACATCACAGAGACAGACTTAAAGGTTACTTGAGGCTGGGGAGGGTCCGGGAAAGTTTCTGAAGGTGCCCCATTTGAGATGTTTAAACACCTTGGGGCAGGTGTTTAAAGCAAGCACAAAGGCCCCGTGGGAGGGAGCCTGGAACGCAGAAGGAACAGAAAGGCGGTGGGTGGGGCTCCCGCACGGTGGGCAAGGCGAGGGTGTGCGGAGAAGACTGCTTCTTGTTCATGACTCTCCCTGCACCCGGACAGACCACCCTCTTGGCATCTCGAACACTTGTTACGTGGCAAGTGACTTACGTATCAGGTCTGGGTCAGCCTCTAATTTCAACCCCAGTGCCCTGCACAGCGCCTGGCAGATGGCTGGCATTCATGTGTGCTTACTGAGCAAATAAACGCAGTCACAGATTCCAAGAAGGACTAGTGACGACCTCTCCCGCCTGATGACCCACCAGGGGAAGTCGGTGGGAGGAAAGGCTGGTGAGTCACTTATAAAGGGAGTCCACTTGGTAAGACACTGCACAGCGCACCAGGGGAACTCACTGATACGGATGATTAACTGATGGCTTCATCCTGCAAGGCTTTTTATTTGAGCCTCTTCCATGGAGAAAAAAAAAAAAAAGAGGCCAGAGAACAGCTTTCATTTAGCAGTTGGAAAAAAGCGCCGAATGGGCTCTCAAATATTGATGATGATGACAAATACTGACTTGAGTAAAGAGAACTGTAGGAAAAACCAGAAGAACACGGTGTTTGCTGAAACCTCTAAGTGCCTCCCAGAATCTGAGGCAGGGTTCAAGTGCTTAATGGTTTTCTTTTCTCTGTTGTCAGTGGTAAAGAAGGGCAGACACTGAGAAAGGCATGGAGAGTGATGCGGAGAAGGGCCGGAGCTAGGGGTGACTCCACTGTGACTTGGGGGCCAAATGACAGAGAGCAGGAGTGGCCTTGCTGCCAGTCATCCTGATAAAGGGCAGGTGAGTGCATGCCCCCAGACCTTCCACAGGGCCCTCCCCTCCCACTGGGATCCTAGAAGGTGTCTCATGACATCCAAGATGAGAATATAAACAAGAACAATAATAGTAATAGAACAAAATTCTGACTCTTTAACCTGGCTCACAACATCCTTCCAAACTTGCTCCTGCCTACCTGCTGCTCAACTGTCTCCTGTTGCCCTCCTCCCCCTCCCAGCCCCTGGGCACAAAGGCCATCCTTCAGTTCCTCACATCAAACCTGCCCTGCCTCAGGGCCTTTGCACCACCTACTCCCTCCACCTGGAATGTACTTCCTTTGACCTTTTTTCCCCCCAGCTTTACTGAGGTATATAAGTGGTATACAAAAAACTGCACGCAGTTAATGTATACAATATGGTGAGTTTGGACATATGTATACACCCATGTTACTATCACCACAATCAAAGCAATAAACATATCCATCAACTCCAAAAGTTTCTCTGTTTTTTTTCTTTTTGTGGTAAGAACATTTAACATAAGATCTACTCTCAAAATCTTTGAAGTGCACAATACTGTTAACTATAAGCACCATGCTGCACAGCAGATCTCTGGAACTTAGTCATCTTGTATACCTGTAACTTCATGCCCATTGAACAAAAACGGCCTCTCCCCATCCCCAGGAACCACCATTCTGCTGCCTACTTCTCCATATCTGACTATCTGAGATGCCTCACATATGAGGAATCATGCAGTATTCATCCTTCTGTGACTGCCTTATTTCACTTAGCATGTCTTCCAGGTCCATCCAGGTTGTCACAAATGGTAAGATTTCTTTCTTTTTAAAGGCTGAAGAATATTCCATTGTGTCTATACCACATGTGCTTTATCCATTCATCTGTCAGTAGACACTCTGTTTCCCTATCTTGGCTATTGTGAATGATGCTGCAGTGAACATAGAGTGCAGATATCACTTCGAGATCCTGATTTCAATTCCTTTGGACATATACCCAGAAGTGGGATTGCTGGACCACTGGATAGTTCTATATTTACTTTTCTGAGGAACCTCCGTACTGCTCCCATAGGGGCTGTACCACTTCAATTCTACCGACAGTATACGAGCTTCCACTTTCTCCACGTCCTCGCAAACTCGTTATCTTTTGTTTTTTGACAACAGCCATTCCAACAGGCACGAAGTACGATCTCACTGTGGCTTTGATTTGTGCCGATCTCTTGCTCTGCTAAGGCTGGCTCTTGCTTGTATTCAGGTCTCAGATTAAACGTCACCTCCCCAGAGAAGCCCTCCCTGACCCCCCAAACCAGTGGAGCTTGCCAGCTGCTGACTAATATGTCACTACGTAGCACTTGCCACTGGCTGATCATTTTCCTGTTAGTTCGAGTAGTTATTAATTGTGTCTCCCCAACCAGAATATCAGCACCATGAGGGCAGGGACCACTGTCCTTTCTTTACTGATGAATACTCAGTGTTCAGAATATGAAGACCCTGAGTAACTGTTTGTTAACTGACTGAATGAACCAGTTATTTCTGTATCTAATACTAAGGGTCAAGGAGCAAATATTTATCGAGCATCTAACATACGGCAGACGCTGAGCTTGGTGCTTTATATGCAAGTTCTCACTTAGTCTCAAAACATCCCTATGGCACTTTTTCATCCACGTTTGACAGTTGAGGAAACTGAAGCACAGAGAGGTTGAGTCACTTGCCTGAGGTCACACAGGTGGTAACTAACTGGAAAAGATTCAAGCCAAACCCAGGTCAGCCTGACCCCACATGCCTTGATTTTTCCACGACAATGTGCTGCTTCCCACATCCTGCTCCTCAGAACTTCAAATCAGTCTCTACTTTGCCCCTTGCTTGCTGTGTGACTGTGAGCAATCTGCTTAACCTCTCTGTGCTTCAATGTCTTCAACTCTAATTGGGGAAAAAAAGGAAGGTTTCTATGAGCATCAAATGAGATACAGCATATGAAAAAAAATTCTGAACAGTGAAGAAACAGGAAAATATAGTAGATGTTAGCTATGCGTGTGACCACTTACCTAACCCTTTCTCTACCCTTGCTAACCTCTAGAGGAGCCAGTTATTGTGAAAATCTTTGATGCTACTGCATGCATTGGCCACACGGAATCCTGGGTCGCCCATGTGGATGCCACCATATCCACCAAGACCTCCAAGCTTCCCAGCTATGGAGAGACACTGTCTCTGTTGTTCGACTGGTGGTTTTGCTCATTCTGGTTCCTCTGCCTGGAAACTCACTTCTGACTTGACCTAGACTGGGCCAAGGGTACCCTCTCTGTATCCACAGAGATGAGCACGGGAAGGATCGGTTGACATGCCCATCTCCCCACGAGATGGTGGGCTCCCAGGGCAGGGACGGCGTCTCGTGCATCTCGGACAGGCCCTGAGCCTGGCGCGGAGCTGGCACGCTTAGAGGTCATCGGCAGACCAGCAGAGGGGCCACCCCGGCCCTGCTGAGCCCCGCGGGTGACTTACGTTTTCGCTGTTGACATCAGCTTCACTGGGGCAGCCGAACAGCTCCCGCCTCAGGAGGTTCCCGTCATACTCCAGGAAGGTCAGGTAGAGGTTGCGGAAAAACTCCACGTGCTTGTTCTTCACTCGGAGCTTCTTGGGGGAGTTCCAGTGGATGACCTGGTAGGCGACAAGAGGGCAGTCAGGCAGGGGGCACCTCGTGCCTGCAGGAAGCGTGGCTGGGCACTGGTCTGAGGAGTATCTGTGGGCTTGCCCATCCATCCATCCACCCATCCATCCGTCCGTCCGTCCGTCCCTCCATCCCGCCATCCATCCACCCATCCATCCAATATTTACGGTAGAGTGCTTAAGAGCAAGGGTCCTGAGGCCAGACTGCCTAGGTTCAAATCCTGGCTCTGCTCTAAGTACTCATTTAATCTTGGGCAAGTTACTTAACCTCTCTGCGCCTCAGTTTCCTCATCTGCCAAATGGGCATCATGACAGCTCCTGCCTGTGCCAGCGTCTAAGCTTTCATCTCTCAGCTCCAAATTCACTTTGAGATGCTGAGGCAGGGACCTGCAAACCCTTTTTCTGCTTGTTCCTCTGAGCGTCACCCCGGCCTCCTGTCTTCGCCCCGGCAGCGGCACTGCCTTCCTTTAGCAGCAGCTAAATCCATCCTGCAGCTTTTCCAACACTCAGAAGCAGCTTCATCGTCCTCCCGTCCCCGTCCCCGCCCACCGCTGCTGCCTCTGCAGCTGCCTGGCCACCCCGCCCCAGAGGTCTGGGTTCCCGCCCCGTTACCATAATTGCACTTCTTCCCTCTGTTCCCTCAGCTCCAGGGGTGGTAACCGTTTCCTGCAATTTTCTACTTTTGCTTTTTTACTTACCAAGTGAACACGTATGTCTAGTTATCATTTTTAAAGATTAAATTCTCTGTTCAAATAATTGCTATGGTTTCTGCCTCCAGCCAAGACTGACGGATGCACCGTCTCACTGAGCGGCTGTGAGAAGTCAACTAGTTTATACATGTAAAGCCTGTAAGTAGTGCCTGGCGTAGGATGAGTGCTCAATAAATGCTGACTATTAAGTGCCTACTGTATACCGAGTTGGGAGATGGCGAGAGACACCTGTTGGCAACGTCTGCCTTGGCCCGTTCATGGTCTGCTGGGGAGACATGTCCATAAACAGGTAATAGAATGCAATAATGGAGGGAGAATCAAGAGGAAACAGCAGCTCTAGAATGCTCAGAGAAGCATCACAGAAGGAGAGGCCTGTGCTGGGGCTTGAAGGATGAGCAGGAGTTTCCTGGGGAGACAGGGCCAGGGGGCAGAGGGGTTGGTGGTGACACAACCCAGGCAGAGGGAAGACACGTGGGACAGCATGGTTCACTTGGAAAATGAGAAGTCACAGGCTGCAGCTGGAGCGCAGAGGCCTGGTGGGGTGGGTGGGAGATGTGACGGCAGAGGTAAGCGAGGGGAGAGCCTGGCCGCGTGGGGACCATGTTCAGAACTCAGATCGCATCACTGGCAAGTTGTGAGGAGGGGTAAAAGGACTAACTCTGGGTTTTAGGAGGATGACTCTGAATATAACGGAGAAGATGCAAGTGGCAGGGTGACGCCAGTGACGGGTCAGCTGGAATTTCCAGTGGGCACTCCTCACCGCCTTGGCTGGGGAGCTGTCTACCAGTGGACACTTCATTGCTCCACATTGTTTTACATCCATTGTCTTCTTTTAATCCTCACAATGACCCTAACAAGGAATGCAATTTTAAAGATGAAGAAACTGTGGAGAAGTAATTTGCCCGGGACCACAAAGCTGGTAAACGTTGGAGCTGAGATTCAAATCTAAGTCTGAATAAATCTGATTCCAAAGCCCATGTTCCTTCCCCTACACTGTGGGGAATAGGAAAAGCCAGGTTTCAAGAGCTTCCCTTTTCATGCTTTGTCACGTTACAGAGGAAACAAGAGAGCTCTCACCTTCCCTCTCCAGCCCCCTAATGCCCTTGCTCTCCTCCCCTGGCGGGAGGAAGAGCACATCTGAGCGTTGAGACCGAGGAAGGGACCAGGCGTGCAGAGCTCAATCTCTTCCTGGCTCCCTCCTTCACCCGCATTCTGTGTGTAAGAGCCTGGACAGGCCTGCCATCTAGAGAGGGGTCTGGAAGACCCATCTCCCTCTGTCTCGGGGTCCCATGGATGTACAGCAGGGACAGCCCTTGAAGCTGGCTGGGTAAGTACTGCTCTGCAAGGCCAGTTCCCTCTCTCATGGCACAGTGAATAATAGGAAACCTATTTGGTCCAAACCGCACGCCCTGCCCTCCCGTGACCAGCAACAGAGTGACAGCAGAGCAAGAACCGGGGACATCAGGCCAGCCTCAGTTCGAATCCCAGCTGTGCTCTTCACCAGCCGTGTGCGTCCTTGGGCAACGTGTTTCATTTCTTGGGGCCTCACTCTACTCATGGGCAAGGCAGGGGTCAGTAACCCCGACTTTACAAAGTCGTGAGGAGGGTTAAACGAATGTCTAGCACAGAGCCGGCATGTCAGGGTGGCTCCAAAGACGTGGGTTCTCGTCTCCGCTCAAAGACGGGGCCACCAGCCTGCACTACAGTGTCCCGCCCGCCTTTCCCCTCCTGCCAGCATGAAGTCCGCTGCAGCAGTGAGGAAGGAAGCAGGCACTCAGCACCCGAGAGAAGGCGCATGAGGCCAGCAGCCCCTCCCTGGAATGAGGCCCCTCGGCGGTGCTTGCATTTCGGGGCAGGATGGGTGTGCAGTACGTGGTTCTCTTCCTGCGCCTTTTGAAGGGTGCGAGAGGGAAGACGCTGTCCTGAGAATACACCCATCCCGGACACAAGAAGGTCCTGGGCCGCATTAAAATAACTGCATGCGAGCTGGTGTCACTCACAGCCAGTGGGGATCACGTCTTCGCTGTGAAAGATTCTCCCAAGTGCTGAGCTGGCAGGAAGGCTGATGGATGTGCATCTGACTCAGGAAACCTGGGCATTCTCAACAGGGAGAAACTTAAACTCAGTGAAAATAAGGGCTGGCCTATGGGTCCCCTGGCAAACAAATCTTAACTTATTGTGCATGAATCTGCCAGGCACTTTGGAGACACTGTCTCATTAAATCTTCCAAATGATCCCATTTGAATCCCACTGTCCATGAAACGGAGATGGTCCTGACTGGCCCGTATCTCAAGCTGGTAAGTTACAGAGCTGGGACGCAAACCCAGCTCTAAGCCCTAAGCCCCAGCCTCCTCAGTGCTATTGTGGACCCTGTCAATGGGCTGAGCACTTTACAGGTGAGGAGAGTGAGGTTACAGAGCAGAGTGACTTGCCCAAGATCACATGGTGAGCTATCTAGCACAAGCACCCAGGGCTCCTGGCGCCCACCACCCACTCCAGGCCATCTCTCATCCCATCACGTCTCATTCTGTTCCGTGTCTGCCCAGGGATCTGGGGTGGTGTATTGCCTGCACAAGTGCTGCTGTTTTATAAAAAGCAGCAACGGTTTAAGGAAGGTAGAGGCGGAGGATGGTGGATCATTAAGAGGCCAAGGTGGTTTTGGAAAACCCTTTGCAACCCGCTGCCCTCTGACGGGGAAGCCCACTTAAAGTCTATTCATGTATATTCAGATTTACCTTTTCCTACTTAGTTTTTAATCATCAGAAGGCAGAATGCTCCATTCCCCTGTGCTAGGCTCTAGAGAAATAAATCACAGCTATCGTTTATCTAATACTCTTTATATACTACACATTAGGCCAGGGGTGTGTGTGTGTGTTCACATTCAATCCTCAAAACAACCTAGTAAGGTTGTTTCTGTTATTATTTCCATTTTACAGATGATAATCCTGATGCTGAGACTAGTGCAGGATCACTCAGCTGGTAAGTAGCCAAACCTATTACAAAATCAGGTCCATCTTGCTCCCACATCTTTTTCTTTCTAGCACCTCATTCATTCATTTAACAAATATTAAAATGAGCACCGACTATGTGCCACGCATGGATAGGGGCTGTGAATTCAGAGATGAACATAAGAGATCACGACTCTCTTTCTGGAACTTATAACTTAGAGGGAGAGGCAGACGTTACACAACTGTCCATTTTAAATTACAAGGATGATAATGTGCTGCTAAAAAGAGCTTGTTAGCAATTGTTCCCAGGCCAGGCCACTTCAAGTACAAAGCAACCAAGGCCCAGGATGAGGAAGTGACTTGCCCCCCAGAGTCACACAGCAGAAGGGGAAGTCGAGCCCAGCTCTGTCTCCCTGGCCACTGCTCCTTCCGCTGAACCACATGTCTGTGGCTGAAACTCCAATAATTATCAGGATTAGTACTGCTGATGATTTTGATCAGCGCTTGTCTGACTACTGAAAAACGTCATTTCCCATCCCTGGAGGGACAGAATCACCCATCATTGCTGGCTTCGGGGCAGCAAGCTGGTGGTGTGGATGACATTTACTGACAAGCTTTCACACATGAGATGGACTGACACTGAGGAACGTGCCCAAAATAGATTTTTGCGAGGAGCTAGTAAGTACATGTGAGTCTGCGAGGCTTGTGGTGAAAACTTATCATAACTTATTCCAATTGCTGAGGCACATGAGCAGAGTAATAATTATTATCATTAGCAGCTAACATATATGGGATATTTGCGATCTGCCATGCACTGCTCTGAACCCTCCACTTGTCATAGCTCATTCATTCTTTATTCAACACTATAAATGATCTTCTCGTTATCAGATCTTACAGGTGAGGAAAGTTCAGCAAATTGCCCCAAGTTACACAGCTAGAAAGTGGGGGAGTCAGGATTCAAACTCAAAGGGACAGAGACATTAGGAATCTCTCTTATTTCTCCCATGTCTGTAATCATTAAATGACTTCGTTTACAGAAATGAACATGAGATTTACAGAAGATCAGAGGATCAGAAATGAAACCTACTTTTCCCTCCCAAACAGAGGGACCCCACCCACCCCCGGGGATACAAAGGCTGCGGGGTGATTCAGGACTTCCCAGGCACACAGGCTGAACATCAAGCTCCACAGGAAGCAGAGAGGGAGGCAGCCAGGTTGCACACCAGGTGGGCTGGGGAAGCTGCCAGGCGTCAGGGAGCCCATGGGTGTGATCTGATTGGATCTGAAATGTCTGTGAAGGCTGAGTATGTGTGCAGACTTGGAGTCCTCCTGC